CAAGACCTAGCACTGATGAAGAGCGAGGACCCCGGTCTCCGTTACGGTATAAATAGAGAAGAAATTAATTGGCCCACTGAGTACTATTTTATATATATTATTTAATAACGCTGGCATGGTGGGCGCATGCCGTGTAGTACCCCAGCTACTCGGGAGCTGAGGCAGAAAGGACCTCAAGCCCAGGAGTTTGAGGTTGCTGTGAGCTGGCTGACGCCACGACTCACTCTAGCCTGGACAACAAAGCGAGACTCTGTCTCAAAAAAAAAAAGAAAGAAAGAAACGTTAGCAAGTGTGAGAGAGGTTCCAGCACACGAGCACAGAAGTTGAGTCTTTTTCTTTAACATAATCAGAAAGCTCAGAAGACAGTGGAGATGAGAGGAAGTTTCTCACTGTGTGATTCAGAATTCATCTAAAGCCCTCCACGCACCAGCTAAATTCTCCCATGCCACCAGCAGTCCCACCTTCTATTCTTTCTCTGGAAAAATGCCGCTCTGAGGATCTTACTTATATATTGTTGGTTTTTTGTTTCTTTCTTTATTTATCTACTGTTTGTTTTTGATCGCATTAATTCCTAACCGTAAAGAGTGCACTATGTAATCCCAGGTTTTTGTTTTTTTTAGACAGTTTTTTTTTTTAGTCTTTTTCTATTTGCCCCTATTTCAGAGTCGTATTTGTCTTCTTTTCTTCATTTTTTTTCTCTATCTCTTTCAGTCTATTTCTCTCCAACTTCCTGGCCAATTGTATGCTCTTTCTTCTTCTTCTCCCGGTAGCTGTATCTATCTAGCATTCCCATCTATCTCTGTCTAATTTTTGTTTTTTTTTTTTTTTTATTTTTTTTTTTTTTTAATATATTTATATTCAGTTGGCCAATTATCTTCTTTTAGTAGTAGAGACCGCGTGGGGTTCTCGCTCTGCATCAGGCTGGTTGAATCCTGACCTCTTGAAGCAATCACGCCCCTCCGGCCTCCAAAGAGCTAGGATTACACCGTGAGCCAAACCGCGCCCGGCCGAATCCCATTTTATTTAGATGCAGGTCAACGAGGCCCGCCAGCGTGGTAGCCGGATGTGAAGATTAGCTGGATGTGAAGATTAGCTGGATCAATACCTGCAAAGAGCTTGGAGAAGTGCCTGACTTCTCCAAGGGCCAAATGCAGAAACTTATATTTAAAGAGGACTCATTTGGAAGCAGCCCCCTGCCCCTTCCTGAGGGTAGCAGGGGACCGTGCTGCCTCACCAGCAGGGAGGACCTTGAATTGGAGCCCTATCGTCACCACGCACAGCTGGGTGGCTCTGGGCAACCCTCTGCGTTCCCCGAGCCTCCTCTTCATCACCTGTAAGAGGATAATCGCGGCACCTGCTCCCTGGGGCGGCCGTGAGGATGAAATGAATCATGTCTGGAAGTGCTTAGCACAGACCCAGTGAAAGAGGGCTGCGGGAGCCCCGCCCAAACTCCCCTCCCTGTCCTTCCACAGTCTGCAGAAACTGGCCCTTCCTCTCCCCGTCACTCCCTGGCCTGGCTCTGCTGGTCTCTGGCAAAGCAGCCTAGTTCTTGCTATCGCTGACTCTGTGGCCCTTCCCACGTCCACTCAAGCCAGTGGCTTCCCCTCTGCTACTTCCCGGACGTTTGCGCCTGGCTTTGAGCTCACCTCTTGAACCTCTTGCTCTAGGAGGGACATGGATGTCATGTTTGTGACACAACTATACAGATTGCCATGAGCAGCTTGAAGAACAAGATCAAGGTGCCATGAGAAATAATTGCCATGATAATGGCAATACAATACTGTTGTCCTGGTCGGGTGGCCAAGGTGGCTGAGAACTGCAGAGTGAGGAAGAGCCGGCATGGGGGACAGAGGGACATGGAGAATCATCCTAGCAGAGGGGACATCAGACAAGCCTCTGGGCTTCAACATCACCTCAAAACTCTCCTTTTCCAGAAGCCTCCCAGAACAGACCCTCACTCAGCACGGGTGGATCATCCCATGTCTCTCTGCGACTTTCAGAAACCCCATCCAAGCAACCGGCAAGAAAACGTGCATGAAAATAAAGTCAGTGAAAGCTTTTACTTTACAAAAGAAGCGTTCCCTTGAATGTTACCTTTTCAAAAGCAGGCTTTGTAGGATTCCTTCCAGTAGGGACTCCTCCAATCCACGTGAAATGACACCCACCCGGCACGAAGTAGACCCTCAATAAACGCCTGACACAAATGAATGGTTCTGTTTATTAAAATGCACACAGATATCTACAGTTTACTTTGAAGTGCATCAAAGATATATTGCT